TACATGCGATTTTAGCATTGAGCTTGCATGCTGCACAGCAGCTCTTGCTTGTTGTTCTACACCTCCTCTTGCACAGAAGTCTCATATAATCACATGCGTGAATCGACACGTGGCGCGCAGCGGTGTCTGACTCTCGAGCCGATTTGGAAGGCTCAAGCAGTTGTTTCAGTTCCCAAACAACTAGGGAAGGCAGTCATGGCTAGACTATTGGTCCTGTTGATCTCTTTTGGGTCTTTTTCTTGTGAGTCTTAATCACATGCCTGAAACAGCCCGTAGCGACCGGAGGGGCTTGATTTTTGAGCCGATCGGTGAGCTTCAAGCCTGGAGATCGCGAATGCCGCAGTCGCCAATCACCAATCAGCTCAAAAATCATGCGCCCGGTGTCGGGCGCTGTCGAGTTGCTCAACTGGCGGATGCGTTGCGTTCATGGCGCTGGCCTCTTTGGAACCTGAAAGAACTGAAAATTTCTTGATCTTTCTGCTGTGCTACCATGTCTCTTCCTTGACGGAAGTCTGTTCAGGCACCGCCACCCTTTGTGCCCTCGCAGGCCAGAGCTGCGCCAAGGCCTCTGGGTCCGGTCCACAACACAGCTGGTCCAGTGGAGACGGCGCGCGGCTTTGTGCGCATCCACATTTCATATCCCTCCATCGGCTTCATTATGGTCACCAGTCACAGCGCGATATTCCCGGTCCACCCGTCTTGCTAGAGTCGGCCGTTCGCACCCTTCCCACAGCCTTGGCGTATCCAGGCCAATGGATGTTGTGCCCGTGCCATCCATTGCGCCTGCGCCACCCGTGGTGCCTGCGCCACAGGTGCGGAATTGACTGACTAACATGGAAGTGGAAACCCCCATGAAAACCCCTGTTGGTCAAGGAAAGTCGTCTTCCAATTGAATGGCATGTCATCCACTTCCATGAGTCCTTGCGGTCGGGCACGGGTCCACCGTCGGCAGCAGGTCCACCGAGTCTTCGGTCTTTTTTCGAGCGTTTCGCCGGTATGCCACGACCACCACCTCTAAAGAAGGTCTGCTTTTCTTCTCTTCTTTCGTGACTTTGTCTATAGGTTTTTTCTTCTGCTTCTTTTGGGGCCTTAAAACGAAACACTTCATCTCTCTGAGTCCATGAGGGTTCCGCCCACCTGATTGACTGCGAGACGGCCGTAAAATTCGGGATAAACACACCCAGGGCAAGAGTCCATGATGAGAAGCTCCAAAACCTTTTTTCTGGCAGACTCCGCGGTCTTTCAACGGACCGATCTTTGCACAGGCGCGGCGTCCAGATCCACAGAAGCGGTCCTATTCCCGGCCTCAACCCCGGCCTTTCGCTGCATTTTTTGCTGTGCCTTGGCGTAGGGGCCTGGCCGATGTGGACGGATCCACTGAGCCAGTGGGCGTTTTGGGTGATGAGCATCTAGTTGGTGAGGAGGGAGAAGGGAAATCATTTTTTGCACCTAGTGGTCCACTTGGTTTGACACTGTGAAGACACACATGTCTCTCCGTAAGCGCCCACCAGGTATGACCCCGGCGAAGCAGTGACCTGGTGCCTTGAAACGTCGAGGGGTGACAAAAAAATATATACAGAGTCCGCGTAGATGCTTCGGGGACTTTTAGCACGCTGGTCTGCAACAACTGTTCTTAACACTGGTTCTTTCACATTGACTGCAGTGACTACGTGGTGGTCTTGGATGTTCTGACTGTGCGACCCGCGGATGTGAACATGGAATCCTTCATTCCCCAGAACAACAGATCTGTAGACTTGAGATCAACGAACAGAATACTCTGACGCGAGGAAACGAAAACTAACATGGATCCTGAAAACCACTGGTGCAGCTACAGGAAAGCAGTCTTTCAGGTCCACATGAGTTTTCGGGGGTGTATTTGCCCATGGCAAGCCTATATTCAATATCTTCTGCGTGGCCCGAATCCAGCACGGGTGTGACACCTCCTATGAGCCGCCGAATGCCACGCAAAGCTTTGGCGCGTTAGGCCACGGTGCCATAGTAGATGTACCTGATCGAGTTCCAAATAGATCAACTGACGATAGCAAACTCCGATACACCGTGTTTTTTGGGGGGGAAGAAAGGCGAACCCGAACGGTTCACGTGCTGGATTTGGGTGATCCACGACGCACGTCCCAGCCAGGTGCACCTTCCAATTCCCGTCGAGCAGACAGGACTTGGAGTCAAGTCCCTTTTTTAACCCATTGCAACCTCCCCGGCGCCGAACACAGAGTCCCTACAGCGCGCTGGCCGGCTGGCAGAGTGAAGCGCTGGCTTTTTGAGGAAATATTGTGTTTTCAAACTACAAAAAAGAACGCCACGTGCTTTTACATAAGCACGATCCCCAAGAATTCCTCATGTTTTTTTGGGATGAATGGCACTGACATGCACGCCCTCCCCATGTCGACCTCTCCAGGTCCGAAATGTCGCCGACCGATTTGGCGGTTTGGGTGCTTTCATCGGTACAAGACCGCTTTGGAGATGCGGCGTCCGGAGTGAGACTGCTGAGCGAACGAAAAGCCTCTGCAGCATGATGTTGAGATACAGCTTTGTCCGCAAAGGTAGAGTCTGTACTGAGCTCTGCGACGCTTTCTGTGTATGCTTTGGAGTCAAAACGTGTTTGAGGCCGCGTTGGCAATCTTCGAACTGGAGGCACTAACTCTGCCAATGCAGAAGGCCTCGTGTTTTCCAACACCTTCACCCCCTTCTCTGTGCTGTGGAAACCTCATGGTGGTCATACTGGCAGAAGTTCACCTTGTTCAAAGGAGGACAAGGATAGATTATTCGGTCTTTTTCCTTTGCTGCAAAAATTTGGTCCGATATGGTCCCTGCGGAAGCCTTCTCACCCAGCTGAGTCACCCATGTCTGCAGTAGGGCGCGTTTCGCACCCCGGCGAGGTACGGGTGGAAGACGTCCCGGAATGGTACGTCGAACGCAAAGCAATTCGTTCTCCGCGGCACCGACTCGGCGCAGTTCTCTCGTGGCTGACTCTGCGAGATAACGGATGTTTGGCCTAAAGAGGGTTGCGGGGAGAGCGAGTCCATATTTTCTGTACCGTTGTCTCCCGCGTGTGTTTGTTCAGCGTGCCATGCAACCTCGCGGCAGAGTCTTAGGGTCCCACCGAGTGACAGTTTTGCTTTCCTCTCACGCACGCCCCCAAACATCCCTCTGGTCGGCGGGCAGAAGCAATTCGCCAATCTTCGTGACTTGAGAGATCCAAGAAAATGTACCAGCGCCTTCCAACAGAGTGTTTGAAGACCTTAACCGGCTTGAAGACCTTAACCGGCTGCCATGATTGTGACCTGCCACGCGTTGTTTGCGACTTTGCTTCGATCCAGCCGTTTTGGTCACCTGTGGTTCAGTTCCATGCTTGAGTTCGCCCTGCGGTCAGCGCCAATCCACCTGCCAGGTCCTGTGTGCTTTCTGGCAACAACTAGAGACTCCTCGCCGCGCTCCTCGGTGCCACGACACGGCTGGATGCAGCTAGCTTTGCTTGTCGGAACAACAACTTGTGAAGTTTCTATACTGTCCGTCAGTTTTTCTCATCTTACATTTCTACATTCCTTGCCCCCCGCATGGATGCCTTGCTCTCCGGACCTTTTGACCCTCCACTCAGGCTACCACTTGGAGCACCAACCAGCGCAAGCTCCGAGCAGTGCTGATGCGAAAAAGACGTTTGCGCATTAGTTTTTCTTTCATCACGCTCAGTCACTTCTCTTCAAACAAGTGGGGGGCCTCTCACCGCCTCCCGGATTACGCCTGATTCCCTGCTACCTTTCGTTCACCCCCCTCCTCTCTCAAGTTGTCACTCTTCGTGGCAGGCGTAGTACTTTGTGCGGGTTTTGAGGTGTGGAAGTGCAATTTCCGTGGCAGGCGCTGGGAATCGTGAGGTTACGAGGTGGGGCGGAGGTCACATTTCGTGGCAGGCGCAGTACTTTGCGCGTGGTAGACGTGTGGGCACGTAAATGTTCGTGGCAGGCGCAGGGAATCGCGAGGTTGCGATTTGTGGTGGAGAAGAATGTCGCTGCGACATTGGGGTTGGCGTGTGAGCGGTGTTGTTCGGAGGGGATGGACTCGCAAAACTGCTTGGCACGCCTGCGTGATGTGTGTGCTCCGATGGGGCTTCCCGCTTGACTTTTTGGAGGAAGTCTCGTACGAAATGCTCGTTTTGGGACTTTGACATGTGACTTTTGGAGGAAGTCTCGTACGAGAGTGTTTCACAAGAGCGACGCGCAAGAGTGTCCCACAAGAGTGTCCGACAAGCCGACAAGATTGTCGGACGAGAGTGTCCCACAAGAGTGGCATACAAGAGTCACAAGAGTGACAAGAATGTTTTTTAGAAGACTGCTTCGCAAGAGTGTCCTACCAGAGTGTCCCACAAGAGTGACAAACAAGAGTGTCCCACAAGAGTGTCCCACAAGAATGTCCTACAAGAGTGAGTGCTCCACAAGAGTGGCCTGCAAGAGTGTCCCGCAAGAGTGTCCTACCAGAGTGTTCTGCAAGATTGCCCCGCAAGAGTGTGTCCCACAAGAGTGTCCTACAAGAGTGTCCCACAAGAGTGTCCTACAAGAGTGCTCCGCAAGAGTGTCCCACAAGAGTGGGTGTTATACAGGGTGTCCCACAAGAGTGCACAAGAGCGTCCCACAAAGGTTTCCGAAAAGAGTTTTCGAATATATACATGTTTGCATTCGGGTTCGTGGGTTCCATCTTGATTTTTCATGTTTTTCTTTATGGTTTTTGCACGAGACTCCGTTCCTGGCAAACCAGTTGCTTAGGGGTACCAACGCTCCCTCAAACAAGATTATTGCGCGCGTGAGTAAAGGAACATTATACTCTACATCTCTTTTGCGGACTTCAAGTCACAAGAGGGCACTATAAAATGATCTAAAGTGTTGCTTGGATGTTGGATCTAAGTCCTTGAGACGTAGCTTGATTGGTGACCGCCAAAGACGAGTCTTCTTGGACGAGCTGCAGGGCATGATGGCCGCGCCCAGCCGCGCCAGGTGGAGCTCAAGGAAGTGCAGATCCAGCAGTCCATGCAGCGGGCACTGGCTGCCGTGGCTGAAGCACAACAAGAGGCCGAGGCCAAGTTGATCCAAGCAAAGGCGAGGCCCAACATGGGGTTGGCATGGGTCGATTTTTATCCTTGTTTGAGTGGGACGTCAGCTTGACATAGATGGCTCTTGAGTGGTATGTCGTTTGGTAACTGGTTTATCTACTGTTTCTCGGTTTGGAGTCCACTTTTGGGGTGCAGCTTGTGGACTAATGAGGCCATCGCTAGTAGGTTGGAGGCCATCGCTATTAGAAACAAAGAAGAATATAAGGTAGTTTATGGACAACGTCCCTCCTTCAGAAGCGTGGCTTCAGTCGCAGGCGCAGCGCGAGTCGGCCTCGATCCTCGCAGAGGCTTCGAAGGCCATGGGACGCTTGGCATCTATCCGGTGCTCACTGTGCTCACAATCACCGGATGTCATTGGTGGTTCTCAAAAAACACCGGTGTTTCATGGTGTTTCTTCGAGGCGTGGACCGGACATCTGGGTTTGTATAGAATTACTTACATAGTCTTACGTAGAAGAGAACAGACGGGGAGAAGAGATCAATTAATCATTGGATCACTTTCTTTCATATCTTTTGGCACAAGATCCCTTTGGGGTTTGACAGAATCAACTTATAGAGGCCCCCATAATTATCACAATTTCCCAGATAGACAAGAACGATTTCTCATACATTTTGAGAGGGTATTCACTTTTCAATCAATTCTAGGACGCACTACACAAAAAAAACACACAAACAATGTGTGTGTGTTATTTGTTTTTGCTAAGGAGAAGACCCTGCGGCGCTTCAGCTCCAGTGGTTTGAGACGCTGCGGATCATTGCCACCCAGGGCAAGAACGCCACGGTCATTGTGCCCGATCGGATCGACCCGGAAAGTGCCTTGCGAGTGACCGGTAGTGGAGGGGGGCAGAATTAGGAAGGGGGGAACGATTGAAGTGACCCGTTTCATCAGGTTTTGTGGAGTTTTTCCCATGTTCCATGGCTGGGTTTGGATGAATTTTTAAATGCCAGACCGCAATTTAATCGATTGATTGATGTGTGTTTTTGCCATCCTTAGCTGTAGCCGTTGCCTCAAGCGGCAAGGCGGGCGGATGAAGACCCACAGACCCAAAGGGGCAAGCTGCTCATTGAAAAAAGGTTGTATGCTGAAGCAGGTGCTCTTGCTCCAGATTCGATTGTCTGCACACTCTTCAAAGTTTCAGAAGAACATTGTCCCTCCAGAGGCTGTGTGATATTTTTGAATTTCTGAGCTGACAGATTCCCTTTGTTTTTGCTAGACTACAATAAATTGCTTTCTGTACTTTAAGGTGCGGGCGAGCTGCTCTGACGCTCTCGTGCTCTCTCTCCCATACAGACCATACATTCACAAGAGTGCTAAGCTCTGAAGGAACAGCTACTGTGTATATATACTATAGATATATAGGTTGGATCTGTCCTAGTACCTTTAACAGTGAGTAAACAGTTATAACTATTTTTGAACAAGGCCTTTACTAACCATCATCGTCCACTGTTACTGGTAATAGTATAGACGCAACATAGGTATATGCCATGCACGCATGTATTGCCTAAAAGTATTATAATGAAATACAACCACACAACCACACAGATCTACTCTTCATGTTGTTTTCTTTAAATCCCTTTGAGCCAGCCTCGTTGGGGACCGTGTACCCGCTTGTAGCGCGCGGCCCAACAGCCAAGACGCGGCCGAGGTTTCCAAGGACGGACATGATGTGAGCCAAGCAGCCGAACGCCAAGCTGGGACGGTCGACTGCGAGGTGGTACTGGTTTGTTGGTCTTTGACCCAAGTGAAACTAGTCTGTCAAGTGGGTTCAAACAGGAGTGGAGACATGTGGAGACATATTATACTGTATAAGTCTGCTACATCTTGAGGGAAGGACCTAATTAAGCATTTGCTGGTTCTCTTGCTATTGTTCCTGCACAACAACTGGTCCAAGTCTGTCTTTATGTAAAAGAGCACAACCATTTCATGCGTTGCCCAGTAAGTTTGACGCCAAAGGGCGTTGGCCACGGCATAGGCATCAAAAAAACTAGCATAAAAACAAATAAAAAGAGGATCAACCAAAATAACATAAAAAGCGAATCAAAGAAACATATTCCTTGATAGGCCTCTTCTGCTGCTCTCCTGGCCCTGTGGTCTGCGGGTCCTCTGGTAATAAGGTCCCTTGGTCCTTTGGTCCCTCCTGGTCTCTTGGTCCTTTGGTCCACTGGTCCCCTAGTCCTCCGGTCTCCTGGTCCTCTGGTCCTGTGGTCCGCTGGTCCCCTGGTATCCTGGTCCTTCTGTCTCCTGGTCCGCTGGTCTCTTGCTCTCCTACTCCGCTCATCTTTCTCCTGGTCCCCTGCTTGCGCAAATAGAGGCTTGATTGCTTTCTACTAGAGGCAGCTCCCTGGGAGAAAAGTAGGTACCCAATGATGGTAGCCGTCCAGTCATTGAGTAGCCCTACTCAAAAAATGGTTCACCAGTAGAAATAGCTCCCTACTAGGAAGGAGCTCCTAGGGAGGTACACTCTCCTAGTCCCCTACTCCTTCCATCCTCTTCCCTTGGTCTCCTAATCCTGCTACTGCTACTGCTACTGCTACTACCCCAACCATCCTCAGTGGGCTAGAATATTTTTTTTTATTCTATTTTTATTTATATTTTTGATCCCTTACCCGTTGGCGACTGGGCGTTCGTTGGAGTGGTCCGGACATCGCGCACTCCCGGAAACCAAGGCTTCCTTCTTGGAGCATTTGTCCCACTCGTGCGGGTCCGATTTTGGGCCCGATGGAGGGCGGGTCCTGTGTGTTCCAACCGACTGCCAGTTCAGCAAGTTGCTTCATCGTTTGGATTTTTTCTGTGACATGGACCATCGAAAAGACATGGAGGCTTGAATCGGAGCCAAGCCTCTTTTCAGTTGCAAAAAAAGAACACACACACACACATATATATATATATATTGGTATGTATTGGTTAATGATTCACAGTCTCAGCATGAACAAACTCACTTCAAGACATGGGTGTGCCTCAAAGTGAGGAGATAGACATGAACGAATGGGTTTAGACTTTGACATACTTTCATCTTTCCAGGGGTGAAATATGCTGGCATATAGCTGTCAATCCATCACAACTAGGCAGTTTGAAGTAGCCAAAGCACGGTTATCGCTTGAAACTCATCCAACTATGCAGCACCATCTACAAGCATCAAATCGCTCTCTCATACAAATTGCTCACGTCCTCTAGGAAGTGTTTGATTTCTTGGTCAACGTGAGGCCTCAGTTTAGAAGATGTGCTGTTACAACCCAGATTGCAAAGGGATTGGTCAACGAAGGCCAAGCATTGACTTAACCTTTGCTTTGGAGGATTTATGCTGTTATTTAATTTGTTTCCTCTCCATCAGTCTTCCAGCTGTTCCAATACGGATCATTGATATTGACATAGAACATGGACCTTCTCAAAGGCATTTCCCATACAAAAGAACCCGGCTGTTCACCCCAAAAAGACTCGCTTGCAAAGTGAACCGTCAGATTGATGTGGTGAAACGCCGGCGCTTCAAGGTGTCCCTTAAAAGAGTTGGACATCTCATTGAACCACATCGACTACAAAGCGGCCATGGTCTTGGAGGAGAGTCCCCTGCACGGTGGATTTCAGGATTTCATACAGTTAGTTTTCAGAATTCTAATATACAGTGTAGATACTTTACTTTTTTCAGCCTTCAGCCCTGAGCTACGGTGCGACGACACTTCTCAACGACTCTCCGCACCTCAGAGAGGTGCAGAACGGTGCGACTGTCGCTCGCCATCAGGACTTCTTGTCGCAGAACTCGCGCTTGACGGCCTCTTGGGCTGTTCCGGCGATCACAGAACGGGTGTGTTGGCAAGGATGACAGGACATCGGATTGACGACAATGAGGGGACTTTGTGAGTATCTTCATCTATCTTCTATTTCTTCAGTCAACTCAACTCCATTTTTGGCCAACACTCGAGTCTTCCATTTGGAGATATTGTTTGTTTCCTTCAAGAATAAGCTGCCGGAGTTTTAGAGTTCTGGGTCCTTGAAACACTATTCTCAGTTCAAACAATGAGGGACGACTCTTTTGGCAACTAAGAACACCTCGAATCATGTTTAGCCTGGTCACCATGGTTGTGGGGCTGAAAGAGATTGGGGTCCCTCAGCTTCTAATTAGCTCCCAGAAATTCCAGCGGCTGTGTTTGAAATGTGCAGAAGAAAGCAATTGCCTTTGGGACAAGTAAGCTAGGTTCGGCCACTCCAGATGTTCGCAACGGCTATATAGAATGACTAGATCTGGTCTCGCTTCATACTGGTCTAGCCTGAAAAGGAATATGGAGATTGTTGACCCGTAATAAACCGTGAGCAGGCTGAATATGATCCATCTCAAGAACCTACAGGTCAGTGGTAATCCTTACTACAGGTATTCCAAATTCTGTCTCTGGTTGAGACTCACAACAGACATCTGCAGACTATATAAGTATCCGCTCATCAAAGCCCAGCTCAACCACTTCGAGGATTCGTTCTTTTTCCCACGGGTGGGAGGAAGCTCGATATGTGAGGTGCAGTCCTTCCACCTCTTTTAAAATCAATCTACGCAGTCCACAAGCATGGGTGCTCACTAGCATTAAGTTTCCCTAAACATCTAGGAACCACACCATTAGTGCGAGCGCTTCTTCAAGGAAGCTTCTCCCGCCACACCCTTGAAGAAGCGTGAGCTATCCTGCGTCCTGTCAGTAGTTGCTACTTGTTAGCTACTAGCTACCTAGCTTCTACTAGCTACCTAGCTACCTTGCTAACCTGCCGCCAGCCTGGCGGCCTACCCCCCGTTGATGGGATCCATTTGGACCGGAGAACCTGAGGCTTTGGATTTGTCGGAGAACCCTTTGGGACCAGTGGCTCGGCTCAGATGATCAGATCCGAATCGACCGGTCAGGATATGCTTTTTGTTGGAAGACGTGAATGGACCGAACATATTCAAAGACTGTGCAAATGACAAGAACAGGACAATAGAGCAATAGAGCGTCAATAGAGCTGTTGTTAACTGCTTTTGGTTAAGCGTCAATGTTGCCCTTCTGTGTTTGTTCTGGGTTTCTTCGCGCCGACCTGTCAGGATGCGTGGTTTCTGGCGTTTTTTTTCTTTCCGTTGGTTTCGGACGCCCCTTTGGGGGAATCTGACCCTCTCATTCGTCGGCATCATGAAGCACCATCACTAATCACATCCAATCACCAGAAGCCTTCCCAAGGATTTGATCAACCTTGCCAATGAAAGATTGAAACAAAGAGGAAGGAACGTGAACATGAACCTTTATGATCACGTCTCGAAAAGCAATTGCATTCCCCCACATAACCCTCTCGACACCAACATCCACATCCCCTCCGCACCGGAGAAGTTCTCTCCGCCGGTGCAGTCGACAGACCTCGCTGTCGTGAGGTGGGGCTGCGGAGCCTCATCCGACTGCTGGTGCGAGAGGAGCTCGGGCGCTCGGTCGCGAAGGTGGAGCTGCTGAAGCCCGGTTGCAACAAAAGAGGACCGGTCAGGAAGACCTGACCAGAAAGAAGGTTGGTTTAGGATAGAACAACAAACTGGGACAGGTTTGGGGGTTAGCTAATTGATCAAATCGGAACTTTTGCAAGTTGGGCAATTCGTGGGCAGTTTTGGTGGGGATTTTGCAAGAAGCGTTTTGACATTTCGCCCACCAACCACAGCTTGCCTATATCCTGATTGCAGACTCCTTGACCAAAACCGCATCTTCTTCAACACGGATGAATCAAGCTTGTTAGAGGATGCGGGAGTACGCCTTTCCTCTCCAAATCCAGTTCTTTCAAATCCGGTTTCTTCCTGATGGATTTCATTCTGACTTCGTGGTACCAGTTCTTTTTCTCCCGCCCGGGGCCGGACGGAGGTCGGGCTTGGACCGGCTGCGCTTTGAAGGTGCGTTGTTTGGGTTGTCTCGTTCATCGCAAGCTGAAGATGAGCCATCGTAGCCCAGCGGAACAAATGAGTTCTGCGCACCATAAGCATAACAAGCAATCTTCCTATTTTGGCAACAATGAAGAACCATAAGTAGCCAACTTCGGAACTCCATGCTTGTGTGGCTCTTGCGAAAGACATGGTGTGCATCCCCTGATAGAGGGTGCTCACTGAGAACTGGGTGACTCGGGTCACACAATCAGCCAGCAGTGAGCTGAGCATCTTGGCAGGCTGCGCCAAGGGAGAGCAGCCCTCGGCCATCGCAGATTTGCCGCTTGACCTGGCCATGCATGGCCCTGGATTCAGAAACTAGCATACACATTTTCATGTTCTTGGCTTGCTCCTGTCTGTTGAGCTTTGGCCTTACTCTTTTGGAGAAACAAGGGCGAACACGCCTTCCTACTCGTGTTGGAAGCTGCTCTGAAGAGATGGTGGTGCTACTCTTGGTGAACCTGCACCTTGATGCACCTTGTAGTTTTCTGCAACTTTATCTATTCTGGCATGAGCCTTACCCAAAGGTGCCAATGCGATTGCCACTCGCGGTACTCGCAAAGGCAACCTTCACACCGCTGGCCGGGTGTGGGGCGCAGCATGCGTCACAGTGGCGGAGTTCATGCACGACTGACGGTCGACTTTGCCACAGTGATCTGGCGCTTGAGGCCAACCCACTTGTGGCCAAGTGGATGACAGTGAGACGATGCGCTAATGTGCTCACTGGGCGCCGTGACCAACGCCTCGACCGCCAGGTCGGCAGAGGCCGCGGTCAGGCATGTATGCCAGTAGGGGAGGCCATTCATTTCTGGGTTTCGCTGAGAGGTTTGAACAGGTCTGGAACATCGAAACGGTTTTACTCTTTGGTGAACCAGAGGTGACTCACATTTAGGGCCCGATCACGGCGCTTCACCCTTGAAAGACCCATTTGTACGTAGGCCATTTTGAAGAATGACATTGCTGCTTTTGTGCTATTCCTTTCCCGCTGGTCTTGTTGAACACATCTATGGGATTAACGTTTGTTTGCAGCAAGCAGATGGCCATTTTCTACTTGAAATGGGCATCTTCCTTTGTGAGGCTCACGACGGTTGTTTGGGATGCTCCCAAGTGGGCGTCTGTTGCTGTGTCCCAATAGGCAGTCCGAAAAGACATTAGAACCTAATAGCAAAAAGAACCTTGGCCTCTGATCTTTGCTTCAGGCCATTGCTCAGTGGTTGTTTGTTTCTGTTTCGAACACACAGTTTTGGACGGGCTTTGCATCCGTGCTTTGCTTTTCCATGCTCTTTTGGCTGTCTCTCAGAACCAGGTCTTAAGAGGCGTTGTTTGTCGCTGCGAAAACAACCGAGCCGGACCGAAGTAGATCCGGTGGACCTGATGGGGTCTCAAGGTGGACCTGATGAGATCGACACCGAAGGACGTTGATGCGGCCGTTGATTCTAATGCCGATTTGCTCAGGCAGTTCATCAGCACCAGCAATCCTGGTGGCCGCTACTCGCTGCAACTCGACCGTGCCTTGGATATGCAGTAGACCTTGATCGGCAAAGGAATCCTATGACCATGCATGCGAACTCGATTGCGATTCAACTATGCCTGCGCAACTATGGGTCGCAAGAGGAGAACTGCTTCAAATCAAAGGGTGGACGTAACCTCAAAAAAGAGTGAGAAGTCGTGACTTCTGCATTTTCTAGAGAAAGGATTCTTGTCTTTGGTTTCTGTCAATGTAACTGTTTTCTTTTTTTCCTCTCTCTCTCTCTCACGTTTCTCTCTCTCTCTCTCTCACGACTCTCTCTCTCTCTCTCCAACCTACTAGCGATGGCCTCCAACCTAATAGCGGCGATGGCCTCCAACCTAGAAGCAATGGCCTCCAACCTACTCTCTCTCTCTCTGTATATAATATACAAAATTATATAAAATTATACACATATATACATAAATAAATTAATACATATATATATATATATACAGAACCACATGCGTTTCGGGACTTTGAGCTCGGGGAGCCAAACAAAAACGAGTGGTGTCTCAGTGTCTCATGATTCTTATTGTGCCTCAAGTATTTAGTCGGGTAGAATATTTCTTGCACCTCACACAGGAAGCCAGTGCTGTTTATAAGAAATTGCCTGAGATATGATAGATCTACGATCTTGATTCATCAAAACATCCCACAGGTAGGTTTGGAAAGACGCAGACTCCGACATACCAAGTGCGTTGCATGTCCGTTTTACAGTGCAATTATTTGCCTGGGTGACCACATCAAGACATAAGACCCATGGACCACAGGTTCGGCTGTGTAATTTTTCCTTTCACCAGTGGGTTCGATGGTGCCTGATTTATTGAGCCACCGCACAAGAGACTGGACCAAGTTTCAACCCCGCCAGTGTCCGATTGGCATGTTTTGCATGTTTTGTGGACCAGCTAGGACCGGATCACCGCTCAGTGTTGAGGACTGACCGGTCTTTCATCAAACAATTGCCCATGCAATTCTTTCGTAGTTGGACACTGGCATTTGGATGTCAGCTTTTCATTTGACACGCTTTTTAAACGTTTTGCCGTGACATGTTCCAATGTCGCGAATCGACCGCACAACGGCGAAAGAAAGACCGCGCCGCATTCAGCTTCGTTGCGGCGACCGGACCGCAGGATGCTCTATAAGACCTGCGAGCGCTTGGGGATTAGTCCGGCCGAGGCCGAGGGATGAGTTCGCCACCGGCCCCGGTGGGCGAAGGGGTCTCTCCCGTGGAAGTGACGACATAGCTGACATGTTTCCATTGAATCATAGCTGACAGATAGCTCTCCTGAAGGATCTAAAAGGAGCATCATTCAAGCATTGAACGTCAGTCATTGAATCATGTCCTTGCTCGCCGGCCACGAATTATTTTGCATGCGTCCATGTTGGGGGTTGTATATATATATATATAGTTGTACTCCTAAGATAAAGCTTGGAAGGAACACGACGTGTCCAAATTGGCAGCCATGAACGCTTCTACTGCTTCTACTAACGCACACTGGTGCAGTTAAGTTGATGTATTTTTATTTTTATTAATTAAACAATAGTATCATACATATTCCATCAGTTTGCGGGGCCCGTGCCTTCAAAGAAACATTCTGAAAACAATTCGATGCGGCATGTGCCGTTGTTGCCAGGCCTTCTCGCAGCTCAGCTACTCCAAAGGCAACTATTCGCATCCAGCAACTGAGCTTCTAAAATGATGGGCCGCACCGGATCCCACACTGGCACAGGGTTGTTAGTGTAATACTGTGGAACCATGAAATTGATGAATCTCCTGGCAAAAACAACTGCATCCACTGCTTTGTTCATGCTTGGCAGATTGATTTGGCTGGATGTTGTCCACCTGTTTGGGTTTGAATCAAAGACACTGTCGTGATGAATGACAGGGCACACCCCGGTTTCACCCACTTTCATTTGGCGAGTGGACTGCTTGCGTGCCGCTCAGATCAGTGTTTAGGTGGTCACACTTCGCCGCTCGATGGACGAACAGCACGGGAGTCAAACAAACCACCCTTCTTGTGCGACCGGCTCACAGGTGAAAGCCTTTTGGACTGCTTGCCGTAACTGCCTCATCGTCGCTGAGGTACGTAAAGATGGCGTCTACGAAGTTTGCACGGAGGGCAGGCCAGAGGTTTTGGGGTGGGTATGGGCAGCCTGGTGCTGAAACAAGTGTATGTTTAGAGATCAGATCCCACTGGTTGCAGTACTTTCGTAGCTTCCCGAAGAACCCTCCAATACCGAAGAGCCCCCCTCATCGGGGGCTGATGCGCGCATCGATTATATAGGTGTAGCACCAGCGGGGGGTCCAATTCTTGGAGCTATGCCAATGCTGGGAGGATGTCCTTCAAACTCCCAATCCAATCAAGGCCGACTTGACTTGCCCTTTCGATCTTCTCAGTCATTGTCCGAGTCCCACCATTGGGACTTTGGAGCAGAGTGTGTGAGCTCACACAATCGTTGGTGGAACCAGCCCACTCTAGCCCCCAAATCATCCCAAATCACTGTCGATGACCCAACGAAACAGAAACCAAACCTAGGCCACCTGCGAACATGGCCACCTGGTTTCTTTCAGAGAACAACCCCCTTCTTTGTGCGAAGTGACGACCTGCATGACCGTCTAGTGGCCTGGTGACATGGCGGGACTCGCCATGACCCCATGCTTGGGTGGTCCGCCAAGTCGCCACGCGCGAGGCTTCAAACAACCTTCAAGGTAGAGAAGGCCATTCATCCATTGATGAAGGCATGACGTGGAAACTTGGGGGGGATTGGAAGAGGAGACTGTCGTGTTTGTGGTTGTGATTTAGGGCAGGTCTTCTTGATGCTCTCTACTCCTCCCCTCCTCCCCTGCTGTCTCTGTCTCTGTCTCTGTCTTTGTCTCTCCCTCTCTCTCTCTCTCTCCCCTCGCGCGTGTATGTTTCCAAAATAGTGAGTTTCTGAGTTCCCAACTGTACCAGCAGGTTCTGGGTGGTGGTAGGGTGCGCGAAAAGATTGTGCCAGTAAGAGGCCTCCATAGTTTTATGGTCCATGGTGTCTTCACACGTTTTCCACGTTTTGTCGTGGCCTCGTCACTGGCATCAAAGCACCCGCAACCACCATGCGAAGTTCCATCAAATCACTGGGCATGTAGCGAGCCCTTTCATCCCCAGCTTCGACGTGGAGGTGGAAGACGATGCCTTCGAAGACTTCTTCCATCAGCGCAATGGGCTCATGAGGCGCCAGAGTCACCCAAATGGGCCGTGTTTACGGGCCGTAAACGGACTGTACACGACGTGTGTCACAAGGGTTGCATCGAGGTGGAATATAGGAATAATATGATGTTTTATTATGACTAACATCTCTTGCTGGCATGAAGCTCTTGGACAATTAATTGTCACCTGATGAGGAAATCTTACAGTATAATTACAATAACCGTGATCTTGGTCCGGCTTTGGCTTTGACATGTTTCGACGCATAGCAAAATATGTGACTGTTTTGATTAGTCAAGCTGAATGCTTTGATTCTTTTGGATTCTCCAAGATGCAGCTCTACCTACTGTAGTGTTGAAGCATAATAGAGACTTTCGTGATGCTGGGGCGAGGCTCTATCCATCAGAGAGGAAACAATTGGTGCTCTTCAACGCATGGAGGACTCTCAAGGGCCACGGTGGATGACTTCTGGAAGACATTTCTGAATCCACTGTCAAAGGCTCCTTTTTGGTCATTGGAATCCCCATTTTGTATAGCATGGCCCCTCAAACATCTCAAACACTAATACCACTCGCAGGTTGCTCCCCTTTACACGCTTTGTAATCATGCACACTGATGTAGGGCTTCTGGAGGCCTGGATGTAGGGTGTGCCAAAAAGGTGCCGGCATTGGCAAGAAACAAGGGAGTTTGTGTGAAGTTTGCAGGAACGTCTACGTAAATGACAGACCTCTCACCGTTTGCTCGATCAGAAGCACAGCTCGCATCTCCGACACAGGAATGTGGTCAATGTGGATCCAGATCAGGTGCGTGAGGGTTGGCTGCAGAGGGCGTTGTTGAACCAGCGTTTGGTTTGAGGGGATAGTCGGATAGCCTGACTCTTAAAGTCCAAAACAGTAGGGGTGCAACTACTTCAGGGTGGAACTAACGACCACCTTTTAAAGGCTTTTAGCACCGGGTGGTCTGTGACCGCGTGCTCCGCTGGGCTCTGGAATGGTTGCAGGCAGTCTTTCTAAATGCCTTGGCACGCGATATCCACCTGCCGTGATCTCAGGGGAGACCTTCAACGGAAATATACAGGAATTGGAAGTGTTGAAGCTATCTGAGGGCGACCACAAAGAACCATGAGATGCAGGATGGCTTGTGTATTGTGCTTTTGGGCCATCAAAACTTTGTATTGAAATTAAAGGATTTTGGGACTCAAATGGTTTATCAGGCAACCCCAACTTGTTTTCAAACTCTTTTTTTGACGCAGCTTCAGTCTTGAACATAGGATAACAATTGGCTCCCTTTAATCCCCATGCATCCTCATTCATCACCGCGTTTCCCTTTTCAGCCGAGGCCCTTTGCCCTAGTGCAACAGTGGGCAAGCCCAGCGGCCGAAGCTGCGCGTCGGACGAACTCAGAGAGACCCTGAAGGGTGATGCAACGATGGAGGACATAAACACGGGTAGAAAAATGAACGAACAAAATCAGGCAGCTCTCATCGTCTCGATGCCTGCCCTGCCCAGAAGCTTCTTCGTTTGGCCAGCTTCGGACTTGGACTGAAAACCCACCGAAACCAGCACATCAAGGCACTTTTTCTTGGCACCCCAAAATAAAGGGGGGCAAGCTCACCTAAAACTCAGAATCAATACACAGCTGGGGGGTCCTGAGTACATCTGAGTTCCATGTTGCTCAACAAAGCCTTTTCGTCGCGTTTGGAGCTTGGCCCTCTCTCCCTCGTGGTCCAGATGGTCACCGTCACGTGTCGCCGTTGTCGCGTCGCGTGTGGACGATCCACCGAGGATGTGCACCTCGTGCCACAACTCTGCAGAGGTGGCGGGGAACCCCACGAGGAGAACCACCAGTGCTTCGCTTGGGATCACCGAGGGAACTCGGGATCCGACGAGAAAACCAAGAGGTCCCTGTGGCCGATGTTGTCCATCATTGACCTTAGGAAGGCTTCCTTAGAAGGAAGGCTTCCTTGGGAATCGTTTCACCTGTTGTAGCAACAAGAAGCTTTTTTCCCGAAAGCATTGCGAAGGGTTCTTCCGGAAAATCCTTTGAACACTGACACTTCGACACGTACACTTAGACACACCTAGACATTGACACTTTCACCACACACCTAGACATTGACACTTTCACCACACTGGCAGGATAAATAACATGAACGCTATACGTAGCCCTGTGTAAGTGGAAGAGCGAAAGCTGTCAAAGTATGCAAGTGGAAGAAGAGCGAAAGCTGTCAAAGTATGCAAGTGGAAGTATGCAAGTGTAAGTATGCAAGTGATGAGTATGCATGCAATGATGAGTATGCATGCAATGAGTATTGCAAGCATGCAATGAGTAGGCAAGTGAACTAGCACGGGAGATGTCCTAATGAAAAAACATTTCCCCACTTTATAAATTCTCTCTTAAAGGCGGAGGGTGGGACGAACAGCGTCAACCGAAAGTGCAACCCTCTGCGGAGATCGTGCGTGTCGAGTGCGCGAAATGCAGGCGAGAGTGCGATTTGCCGGCTGCGCGCGCAACCCTCTGCGGAGATCGTGCGTGTCGAGTGCGCGAAATGCAGGCGAGAGTGCGATTTGCCGGCTGTGCGCGCAACCCTCTGCGGAGATCGTGCGTGTCGATAGCCACGCAAAGACTTTGGCTGACAACAGGCAGTGGAAGCCAGCTTGCTGGCTGCCATTGTCCAGATGGAAAGCCAGCACGTTGGCTACCATCATAGTTGAAGTGGGTAAGCCAGCACGCTGGCTGCCATCATAGTTGAAGTGGGTAAGCCAGCACGCTGGCTGCCATTGTCCAGATGGGAGCTGGAAGATGAGAACTGGCGACTTTGTAGTACAACTGTAGTACGCGGAGTAGCTGGGGAGCTGGAAGCTGAGAACTGGCGACTTTGTAGTACAACTTTAGTACGCGGAGCAATCTGTGGAGCTGGAAGCTGAGACAGGCGACTTTGTAGTACAACTTTAGTACGCGGAGTAGCTGTGGAGCTGGAAGCTGAGAACTGGCGAGTTTCTAAGTTTCTAGTACAACTTTAGTACGCGGAGCAATCTGTGGAGCTGGAAGCTGAGAACTGGCGACTTTGTAGTACAACTTTAGTACGCGGAGTAGCTGGGGAGCTGGAAGATGGGAACTGGCGACTTGGTAGTACAACTTTAGTGCGCGGAGTAGCTGGGGAGTGGGAAGATCAGAACTGGCGACTTGGTATAGTACAACTTTAGTACGCGGAGTGTCTGGCGAGTTGGAAGATGAGAACTGGTGACTTTGTAGCGCAACTTTAGTACGCGGACTAGCTGGGAAGCTGGAAGATGAGAACTGACAACTTTGTAGTACAACTGTAGTACGCGGAGAAGCTGGGGAGCTGGAAGCTGAGAACTGGCGACTTTGTAGTACAACTTCAGTACGCGGAGCAATCTGTGGAGCTGGAAGCTGAGAACTGGCGACTTTGTAGTACAACTTTAGTACGCGGAGTAGCTGGGGAGCTGGATGCTGAGAACTGGCGAGTTTCTAGTGCAACTTTAGTACGCGGAGCAATCTGTGGAGCTGGAAGCTGAGAACTGGCGACTTTGTAGTACAACTTTAGCGCGCGGAGTAGCTGGGGAGCTGGAAGATGAGAACTGGCGACTTGGTAGTACAACGTTAGTACGCGGACTAGCTGGGGAGCTGGAAGATGAGAACTGGCGACTTTGTAGTACAACTGTAGTACGCGGAGTAGCTGGGGAGCTGAAAGCTGAGAACTGGCGACTTTGTAGTACAACTTTAGTACGCAGAGCAATCCGTGGAGCTGGAAGCTGAACTGGCGACTTTGTAGTACAACTTTAGTGCGCGGAGTAGCCGGGAGCTGGAAGATGAGAACTGGCGACTTGGTAGTACAACGTTAGTACGCGGAGTAGCTGGGGAGTGGGAAGATGAGAACTGGCGACTTTGTAGTACAACTTTAGTACGCGGAGTAGCTGGCGAGTTGAAAGATGAGAACTGGTGACTTTGTAGTACAACTTTAGTACGCGGACTAGCTGGGGAGCTGGAAGATGAGAACTGGCGACTTTGTAGTACAACTGCAGTACGCGGAGTAGCTGGGGAGCTGGAAGCTGAGAACTGGCGACTTTGTAGTACAACTTAGTACGCGGAGCAATCTGTGGAGCTGGAAGCTGAGAACTGGCGACTTTGTAGTACAACTTTAGTACGCGGAGAGCTGTGGAGCTGGAAGCTGAGAACTGGCGAGTTTCTAGTATAACTTTAGTACGCGGAGCAATCTGTGGAGCTGGAAGCTGAGAACTGG